AAGCTCATGGGTAGAGACTCTGTGAGAGGCGGGCTGCCCCCTTCCTCCCGCCTCCCTGCTTTGCATGCCCCTCCTCTGAAACTCAGCTTCTACCCTCTTCATTCGGGACGTGCCCACAGAGAAACACTGGTGCCAGTCAGTAGGGCATTTTCACAGTTCTCTCCGTGTGATGGTTAATTTTATGTGTCAGCTTGGCTAGGCCATGATGCCCAATATTTGATCAAACATTGTTCTGGGTGTATCTGTGATGGTGTTTCTGGGGGAGATTAACATTTGGTGGACTGGGTAAAGCAGGTTGCCCTCCAAAATGAGGGTGAGCCTTGCCCAATCGGAGGACTGAATAGAACAAAAAGTTGACCCTCCCATGAGTGAGAGGGACTGCTGCCCAACTGCTTAGTCTGGGACATTGGTCTTTTCTTTTCTTAGCTTCGGACTCAATGGAAACATCAGCTCATGCAGGGTTTCAAGCCTGCCGGCTCTCAGGACAGAGCTAATGGTCGGGTGTCCTGAGTCCAGCTCTCCAGCTGCAGCTCTCAGGACTTCTCAGCCTCCATAACCATGTGAGCCGATCCCTTATAATCAATCTCTACCCATATCTATATCCTGTTAGTTCTGTTTCTCTGGAGAACCCTGACTAATACAACTGTATGCTACACTTGTCACGATCAATGAACCAATATTGATACATCATTATTAAGTAAATAAAGTCCATACTTTATTCATATTTCCTCAGTTTCCCGCTGATGTCCTTTTCCTGTTCCAGGACCCTATCCAGGGCCCCACATGACAGTCACTCGTCACATCTCCTTAGGCTCCTCTGGGCTATGATAGTTTCACAGGCTTTCCTTGTCTTTGGTGACCTGGACGGTTTTGAAGAGAACTGTTCAGGTATGTCACAGGGTACCCCTCTACTGGAACTTGTCTCCTGTTTTTCTCAGGATTCTCTGGGGGTATGGGGTTTGGGAGGATGACCACAGAGGTAAAGCACCCTTCTCGTCACATCATGTCAAGGGCACAGACTATCAAGGGCACAGACACATCAGTATGGACTCATGGGTATTTGTCTTATGCCTTGGATTATAATCAATACTACTTCATTTTGTTGCTCAAATGTTTCCAGATTTGGTGTTGGGAGTTCTTTCTTTTGGCTTCTGTGTCCCTTTGGCATACCCTTTCCATTATGGACTTTTTTTGGTTTTTTTTTTAAATTTGTTTTGAACACTTTCTTACTTACTGGCACTGTAAAATGCTCCAGACTCTCCTTGTATATTTTCTGCCCCAGTGCTAGAATAAGCCAAGGAACCCTGGTCCCTTTTATTGGTGAATGGCACTAGAAACCAGGATCTGGGCACCAGGTAGATATACAACATTATGCACCTGTCAAAATTCATAGAACTTTACAGCACAAAGAGTGAACATTAATGTCTGCAAACTAAAAATACCACTTGGGATGTCAGGGGATCCAAGGACTAACACAGTGTATGTCATGAAAGAATCTAACCATATTACATATGTACGAATGAATCTCAGGGAAGGGAGTGGGGGAAAGATGGTGACTTAAGTAACTTCAGAAATGAGTGGAGTCTGGGACTTCCCTCGTGGTCCAGTGATTAAGAATCCACCTTCCTATACAGGTGATGTGGATTCGATCCCTGGTTGGGGAACTAAGATCCCACATGGTGCGTGGCAACTAAGCCCACGTGCCGTGATTGCTGAGCCTGGGTGCCACAACTAGAGAGAAGCTGCCGCGCCGCAGTGAGGAGCCCTCACGCCGCAACCAAGACCAGACACAGCAAACAATAAATAAATACATAATATTTTTTAAAAATGAGTGGAATCTGTAAGAATAAAGGCAAAAGAAACTGCAAATAAGCACTGTACTCTAGGTTATAAAGTAGTTTCCCATGGGGGAGTGTGTGTGTATGTTTATATATGTTTATATACATATGTTTATATGTAATTTTATATAAAATAAATATATAGGGCTTCCCTGGTGGCACAGTGGTTGACAGTCCGCCTGCCGATGCAGGGGACATGGGTTCGTGCCCCGGTCCGGGAAGATCCCACATGCCGCGGAGCGGCTAGGCCCGTGAGCCATGGCCGCTGAGCCTGCGCGTCCAGAGCCTGTGCTCCGCAACGGGAGAGGCCACAAAAGTGAGAGGCCCACGTACCGAAAAAAAAAAAAAAAAAAAGAATTCATACTGTGGAGAGAGAAAAGTGAATGTGCATTTAGGAGAAACACAGCCGTGGCCTGTGTGCGAAATCTGTCTGTGCAGCATCTCAGGGCTCAATGAGGGGATCAGTGAGGGCCGCCCTGGGTCTTCAGGATGGGGCTGTGGCCAGGGGCCCCGTGATGGCCCAGCGCTGTGCAGGGCCAGATTCTGTCCACAGCTGAGCTCTAAAACATCTGCTTTTGCGGTCTAGGCTGCTGCTTTCCCTGGCAAAGCCCCCTCTGCAGAATCCCAGCGTGTCAGAGGAGCTAAGTCAGTGACAAGTCGAAGCATCTGGGACCCCACACAGGGCTCACAGCAGTCGTCCCTCTGGCAGCTGAGGCCAGACTTTGCTCAGGGCTTGTCTCCAGGACCCTAACTCTTCGGAGACCCTGCCCCCTCCTCTGCTTTGCTGGGCGCTGCCCACACTGTGGTCTGGAGGGAGGGTCTTGTCCCTGCTCTGGGCCTGGCCCAGGTGGGGCTGCTCCAACACACCAGGCAGGCACACGGCTCCGTCCTCTCAGGCCTCGGTGGGAACAAGAGAGACTTGTTCACGTTCTTTAAAAAGCACAGAGTGCCCCTCCCACCAGGAAGTGTGCTGGCAGTGTGTCCTCCAGGCTCTCCCGTCACCCATCCTGCTCTGTGCCCAGGAGGCTGCCCATGTGGAGGGCAGCAGCAGGAGTTTAGGAGCAGGAAAGAGCGAGGAGGGCGCCCTGGAGGAGGTGTGAGTGCGGATAAACAGAGCCTTCCCCTTCTCCCTGCGCCTTCCTCGGGGAGAGGTGGGGACTGTCTGTCTTAAATAGAAACAAAACTCGTAGGTAGAATGGGAACCTCTGTGGACCCTTTCCTCCTGGGGAAGGGGCAGCAGAACAGAGGCTCCCAGGACTCTGGGTTCCCTCCCCAAGGGCAGCTCTCAAGGCTCCTGAAGGAAGCAGGACTGAACACAGGGATGACCTGTGGAGCCTGAAAGGCAGTGATGATGCCGCAGCCCCTGTTCTTGCAGACACACTCTCACAGAAATGCACACTCAGAGACATACTGTGTTCGTTTCCTGTGGCTGCTTAGCCATTACTACAAACTCGGCGGCTGAAAACAACATACATATATTCTTACAGTCGTGGAGGGCAGAAGTCCAAAGTCAGCTTCACTGGGCTGAGGCCCAGGTGATGGCTCAGCCGCTCTCCCTCTGGAGGCCCCAGGGGAGAATGTCTTCCTTCTCCAGCTGAATCTCCAGCTTCTAGGGCTGTGTTCCTTGTGCTCCTTGCCTCGTGGCCCCTTCCTCTATCCTCAAAGCCAGCAGCCTGGCCTCTTGCCTCAGTGTCACACTGCCTCCTGCCTGTGTGCCAAAGCGCCCTCTGTCTCCATCCTATGACACTTGTGATGACATTCAATAATAACTATGCAGGATAATCTCCCCATCTCAAGATCCTGAATTTAACCACACCTGCAAAGCCCCTTTTGACATTTCAGGGAACATTCACAGGTTCCAGGAACTAGGAGCTGATATCTTTGGGGACTGTTATATAGCCTACCATAGATACATTTACACAAACACAGTATTAAGGTGGCCACACCAACAGACACAGACATACACACACACCCACATTACACACAGGCAGACACTGTCAGTAGAAACCCGCATTCCTGGGGTCCCACGTGGTCACCCATCAGTCACACACATGCCTTATGTCCAAAGCTCTTCCCATCAGCCTGCTTAAGCCAGGTTTGGGAGGCCGCAGAGCACTTCCCTGTCCCATTTTCTCCTGGCTCCCGGGTGACAGCCTTCCTTTCCCCAGTGACACTGTGCATGTCCCTCCTTTGCCCCCTCTACCTAGGAAGCCCTCGCTCACCTCTGCCTTCAGAACTTAACCAATCTTGAGGCCTTAAAGTTTAAGGTCTTGTTCTGAGCCAGCCACCTCCTCCATACAGCCCACCTTGCTCTGCAGTTACCTCTCACAACCATGCCTCGCTGCCACACCCCATGGGTTCTTAGAGAACGTGAACTGAATAAAGGAACGGTAGAGAACCAAAGGTCACTGAGCAGAGCTCTTAAACACCGGTCGTGCGAAGGTGCCACAGTGCCTGAGTTTGGGAGCTTGGTGACTGTCGGACAGACATCTCAGTGTTGGCCGAGCTAGAGCACCTGGGTCTGGGGCATGGATGGGGCCGGACAATGCCCCCAGGCTATGGCTCCACTCAGGCTAGGGAGGGGTCGCCTCTCTGATCCCCACCTCTGCCCCTGAGTGCTAGACCTCGGGGCCAGACTCTGGAGACCAGCCAGAGGCTCCCGCTCTGGGTGAGTGCGGCTGGCCTCAGCGCTCTGGGTCCTCCACCTCCCCCTGCTGCCTTCCTGGGGCTTCACGCCCCATGTCCTTCACACATCCTTCCCCCGCTGTCCCCCAGCCTCAGTATTCTAGGGACTCCATCCCCCCAGAGGGCATCTGTGGAGTCTGTCCCCCACCAGGGGCTCAGTCTCTGCCTCTGGTGCAAGGCCCTCAGGCTGGGCCTCACCAAAGGGTCCAGTGAGCACGGATGTCCTGGGCAATTCCGGAACACAGCCTGGACCAGGTGGTGAGTCCAGCTCCCTGCTGAGGCCAACTGCTCCGGGCTCCTGGGGAAGAGAACGGAGGGAAAGGAGGGAAAAGGAGGAAAGGGGAGAGCACAGGCCCTGGTAGACATCTTATCTTGGACGTTTGACCTGGATGCGTGGAAAAGAATGAGCAGAAAGGTAGGTGCGGAGCAGGAAGGCACCCCCTAACTCTGGGGTCAGCGGCGGCCAGTGCCCGCCCAATGCTTTGGAACGCCTTGGAGCGAAGTCCTCGGTAGGGGTGCTGGGAGGAGAGGACGACCCTCCGGTAGAGCGCTATCGAGCGTTGGCCTGGAGCCACCTGGATAGATGGGGGCCGCGTCTAAGCCCCTGCCGCTCGTGGGCGCCCGGGGCTGGGGTCCGGAGCGGCGGGGAGGGGCCGGGGTCACCGGGGCACGGCATGCGTGCTAACCCCGTGCGCCCGCCCTCAGCACGGAGGCCCGCGCTGCCGCCGCCCGGGAGGTGCTCCTGGCTGCGCTCGAAGACCTAAGCCAGGAGCTGTTGAAGCGCTTCCGCCACAAGCTACGGGACGCGCCGCTGCACGGCCTCCGCAAACCGTGGGGGCGGCTGGAGGGCGCGGACGCCGTGGACCTCGCGGAGCACCTGATCCATTTCGACGGGCCGGAGCGCAGGCTGGACGCGGCGCGGAAGACCCTGAAGAGGGCGGGCGTGCGCGATGCGGCGGCGCTGCTCAAGGAGCAGCGGCTGCGGAGTGAGCGTGGGATGGGGCTCGCCAGGGTCCCCGCCCTCCGTTCCCTCCCGCCTGGGCAGAGTCCTGGCCACAGGCCTCCATCCTTCAACTTCCCCAGAAAAGCCCCGGAGCTCTTCCGGCCTGGGCGCGCTTCGTCCACAAATTCGCGGGCCCCAGGGCTCCGATCCTGCAGGTGGCCCCGACCCCTGATTGCGCCCCTCCCCGCACCGCACAGTCGGCGGGGCCTCACCGCAGTCCTCCCTTCCAGGGCTCGGCCTCAGCTCCTAGGCGCTGCTCTCCGTGTCCGGTAGGTCTCTCTCGGCGGGAGGCGCAGGCCCCTGTCCGGGCCTTGAGCCCTGGGTTTGGAGTACGAGTGTCCTCGAAGTCACCCGGAGGTTCCTGACAGCTGGTCCCAGGGAGGAGCGCGGATGGGAGGGGGACTGTGGTGCAACAGGGGAAACTGAGGTCTGAGCCCGGCGGGGAGGGCAACAGGCCCCTGAGAGTCGGCTGACACAGCCCGCCTCCTCCTCGACCCCCTGTTCCCCTCTCCTCTGTCCGGCCCTTCCCTGCCCCCAAGAGTACAAGAAGAAATACCGAGAGCACGTGCTGCGGCAGCACGCCAAGGTGAAGGAGAGGGACGCTCGCTCCGTGAAGATGAGCGAGCGCTTCACCAAACTGCTCATCGCGCCCGATAGCGCTGCCCTGGAGCACGAGGCTCTGGGGCCCGCGGAAGAGCCGGAGCCGGAGCGCGCTCGACGATCCGACACCCACACCTTCAACCGCCTGCTCGGCCGCGACGGGGAGGGCCAGAGACCGCCGACCGTGGTGCTGCAGGGCCCGGCGGGCATCGGCAAGACCGTGGCGGCCAGGAAAATCCTGTACGACTGGGCGGCGGGCAAGCTGTACCACGGCCAGGTGGACTTCGCCTTCTTTGTGTCTTGCCGCGAGGTGCTGGAGCGACCGCGCACGTGCAGCCTGGCCGACCTGACCCCGGACCAGTACCCCGATCGCAACGCGCCGGTGCGGCAGATGCTAGCGCAGTCCACGCGGCTGCTGTCCATTCTGGACGGCGTGGACGAATTGCCGGCGCCAGGGCCCGCCGAGGCCGCGCCCTGCACAGACCCCCTTGAGGCCGCGAGCGGCGCGCGGATGCTGGGCGGCCTGCCGAGCAAGGCGCTGCTGCCCACGGCCCGCGTGCTGGTGACCGCGCGCGCCGCCGCCCCCGGGAGGCTGCAGAGCCGCCTGTGCTCCCCGCAGCGCGCCGAGGTGCGCGGCCCCTCCGACAAGGACAAGAAGAAGTACTTCTACAGGTTCTTCCAGGACGAGTGGAGGGCGGAGCGTGCCTACCGCTGCGCGAAGGAGAATGAGACGCTGTTCTCGCTGTGCTTCGCCGTGTGCTGGACCGTGTGCCCCGTTCTGCGCCCGCTGCTCCAGGTCCTGACCTGTCGCGCACCTCCAAGACCACCACGTCCGTGTACCTGCTTTTCATCGGCAGCGTCCTGAGCTCGGCGCCCGCGGCCGACCGACTCCGCCTGCAGGAAGAGCTGCACAAGCTGTGCCGCCTGGCCTGCGAAGGCGTCCTCGGGGGCAGGGCGCAGGTCTCTGAGAAGGACCTGGAACGACTGGAGCTTTGCGGCTCCAAAGTCCAGGCGCAGTTTCTCAGCAAGAAGATGTGACAGGCGTGCTGGAAACCGAGGTCACCTACCGGTTCATCGACCAGACCTTCCAGGAATTCTTAGCCGTGCTGTCCTACCTGCTGGAGGACGAAGGGCTCCCCAGACACCTGCTGGCGGCGTAGGAGCACTTCTGCGGGGGCACCCGGAGCTGCGTGGCCACCTCGCGCTCACTACGCGCTTCCTTTTCGGGCTACTGAACACAGAGAGGATGCGCGACATCGAGCACCACTTCGGCTGCGCGGTTTCAGAGCGCGGGAAGCAGGAAGTCCTGAGGTGGGTGCAGGATCAGGGCCAGGGCTGCCCTAGGGCGGCGCCAGAGGGGACCGAGGGGACCCAAGCGCTCCGGGGCGCTGAGGAGTCAGAGGAGGAGGAGGGCGAAGAGCTCAGCGACCTGCTGGAGCTGCTGTACTGCCGGTACGAGACGCAGGAGGGCGCCTTTGTGCACCAGGCCCTGCGCGGCCTCCGTGAGCTGGCACTGGAGTGAGTGCGCTTCAGCAGAATGGACCTGGCCGTCCTGAGCTACTGCGTGCCGTGCTGCCCGGCGGGGCAGGCCCTGCAGCTGGTTAGCTGCAGACTGGCCACTGCCCAGGAGAAGAAAAAGAAGAGCCTGATGAAGCGGCTACAGGGCAGCCTGGGAGGCAGCTCGTGAGTCCCCAGAGCAGGACGGCCCACTTCTGCAGGCCCTCTGTGTGCGGCGTGTGTGCATCTTATGCACTGAAGTGTCCATTTGGGCCTGGGGAGTGTGTCCGGACCTGACCCCTGCTCCCCAGAGGAGAGGCACGACTTCAGGCTGGTTTTCCCACCTCCTTGCAAGGCAGCTCCCAGGGTGTCCTCACCATGCCCCGCACCTCAGCACCCACATCCGAGGCAACCCTCCCAGCACTCCCCCCACCCACCACGGTGCCTTCTCATAAGTCCTGGCGTATACCACGCCCTCTGTGCCCTGAGCCTTTGCTTCTAGTGTTCCCTCCACCCAGAATACTGTTCACCGCCTATCCTCAAAGCCTCTCCAAACCATCCCAGCTGGCCTGAGACCATTTTGGCCTCAGAAATGCCCCACTGACCACCGTATGCCATGACATCTGCCCGTACCCATCTCCTCCACCAGACCCTCTGCTCCTCCAGGGGCAAAGCTCGTGCCGTTGTTTCTGTGCAGTTAATTCCAACCCAGCACCTGACTCAGGTGCTCAGCATCTGTTGGGAGAACGAATGTCAGGACGTTGACGGGCTGGGGCTGGGGCTGGGATGCCCACTGCAGGTGCAAGGACAGGCCCACCTGGTGTGTGCAGGTGACATGCCTCCATGGGACTCACATAGACAGCTTCCGTGGGGAGGCGCTTGTGGTCACAGCTGAGCGGTTTCGCTCTGGGCTTGGGGTGAAGAGGGAGGAGGGTCCTGGCCCAGCTTGGGGGGAGGGCAGAAGCAGCTCCGACACCTCAGGACGTAGGAAGGGGTCCTCTGCGGGAGTGAGGAATTGGCAGGGGCTGGGGCCTTCACCTTCCTTTCTCTCTTAGTAGCTCTCGAACCACCATGAGAACCCCGGGCTCCCCACCGCATCCACTCTGTGAGTGGACCGACCGACCGTGTGCTCTGAACACCCTGATGTGAGTGAACATGCCCCCGGCCCTTCCCCTGGAAGGGATGCAGGGCAGGACACCCTGGGCAGGGACAGAGGTGTGGCCCCGTCTGGGGACGGCTGAGAGGACAGGCTGAGAACCTGTGGCCTCTGGTGTCCCTTGCTGGGGTCGACGAGGAGGGAAGAGGGGATGGGGGCAGGGCTCCAGCACCAGCTTAGGTGCTGGTTAGGGCAGTGGGCTTGGCCCCAGCCTGAGTGGGAAGCAAAGTACAGCTGAGCATCCTCGGGGAGGGACAAAGAAGGCCAGACTGTATTTTTCTCCCCAAGGAAGGCTGCTCAGTGCTATTGTGAACTGCTGGGCGGTCCCTCTGGATTCTTACAAGCAGATATGGAAGGCGTTCAGGGCGCGAGCTCTGAGGCCAGTCCGCCGTCTGAGCTTCAGTTTCCTCCCCTGGGAAATGGAGCCAGTAGCTTCCACCTCAGAAGGTTGATGTGAGAATTAACGAGGCAGTACTTAGTACATAATCTTTCCAATGACTGTTCACCACCACCAAGTAAGCAGAAAGTAAGAAAGGCTGTAGGAACTAGTACCGAAGGGGCATGTGGTGAAACAGGCACAGTCCTGTGTCAATGGTGACAGAGGGTAACTTAACTTGGCATAAACATCAGGAGCCGAAACAGTGATCAGCTCACTTGGCCCATTAGTTCTGCTGCCCGGCTAAGTGCACGAAGATGTTCCTCGCAGCATTGTTTATAATGCCCAGCTAACTAAATAAGCTCAGCCCACCTGCACTTGGTGGGTGATTATATGGAGTTAGACGTATTAAGAACAAGGTCTCTTATTGGCTCATCCAGAAGCTGGTGGAAAATGCCCTGAGGGAAGAGGGGAGTGCAGTCCAGCGGGGACACACATGGTGACAAAGGGCAGGAGAAGCTCTGTGGGGCCCAGGGAGGCAGGTGTGCAGCCAGCACGTCTGCAGACTGAACCTCAGCCCCCAGGGAGTGGGCAGCTTGCACAGCTGGGGACCCATGTACCTCCTGACCATAGGCTGTCCCGCTGCAAACTGCCCGACTTGGTCTGCAGAGACCTCTCTGAGGCCCTGACGGAGCTGGGCCTCTTCCACAGCTGGCTCAGCGAGGCCGGCCTGCATGCGCTGAGTGAGGGCCTGGCCTGACCCCAGTGCCAGCTGCAGACACTCAGGTGAGGGCCGGCCTGGAAGGGACCAAGGGGGAGACGGGGGCTCCCATAGCAGCTCCTGCGGTCAGCACTGCCCGCTAGGGTGCAGCAGTTGGGCCTCCAGGAGGCTCCCAGTACGTGTTTGGCCTGCTCCAGCAGAGCCCAGCGCTGACTACCCTGGACCTCAGTGGCTGCCAGCTGTCGGGGACTATGGCGACCTACTTGTGTGCCGTCCTGCAGCTCCCAGGGTGCCGCCTGCAAAGCCTCAGGTAGGGGCAGCGCCGGGAAAGGTGTGGGAACACAGCCTCTCCACCCTGGCTTGGGGTGGGCGCCAGGGGCTTCCCCCAGTCCTCACAGAGGAGTCCCGCCCAGGGCCCTCCCGAGGGACCCTGCTGAAACTCAGCCCCTGGAGACCCACCCCCTAAATCCCTGGCCCCAGCCCTGGGCTTCAACCACTCCGCCAGACCAAATGTCCATCTAGTGTCTGGTGCACATGGCCACAGTCTGGACCGGCACGCTTTTACTCCCCTGAAGGCTCTGGCCCCTACTCCCTACCCGCTCCCCCAGCCTCTGACAGCCCCCTTAGTGGCCGCCTCCCGTCCCTGTGTGCCTTTGGCATAACCCAGGTCAACAGCTCCCCATTGCTCCCTCCCCGAGCCCTGGCCTCCTTCCCCCGCCAGCTCTACTTCTGTCCTCTGCACACGGCTACAGTCTAACCTCCGTGGAGCTGAGCGAGCGGTCACTGCAGGAGCTGCGGGCCGTGGGGACAGCAAAGGTGGGACTGGCCGTCACCCACCCAGCGTTGGACAGCGACCCCCAGCCTCACAAAGGGCTCGGCAGTGACCCCTGAGGCCCTGGGGGAGGGCTCTAGTCAGCCCTACGGAGTAGCCCTCCCCACTCCAAGGGCGAGAGGTTGGTGCTCTCTGCTGTGGGCAACTCTTTTGAGCCTGAGGGGCCCTGGACAGGCAGATGGGAGACCCAGACAGACACGGCCCCTTACCTGCTCCTGGACAGCCCCCGAGACCTCCCCACACCCTGGGGACAGGTATGTCTCTGTCCTCCCCACCAGGAGGAGGGGGTCCCCTCCCCTAACCCCACTGCTGCCCCACCCACGTTCCTCTCCTGGGACCCTCCAGCCCTCCCACTGCAGGCGCCCCTCAGCAACAAGGGTGACGCTGAGCGCCCCCGGGAATTGAGGACCTACAGTGTGTTGGCCTTTACCTGGTGCAGGATGACCCATTTGCTGATCCTGTGCCCATGCACAGTATGGGCACCCAGAGCCCACTACTCGGCTCCAGCCATAGGGCATCAAGCAGGGGCTGACCCTTGGCTGAAGGTAGGTGGGTCACCGTCCCTCCTCAGGAATTTGGGTCTCAGCATTAGGAGTGAAGCCATCCCTGAGGCTGTGTGGTCTGAGCCCAGAGGTGTCCACTCGCTGTCTGAGGACTTCAGGAACAGGCCAGAGGAGAGTGGACAGGAGCAGTAGCCCCTGCTCCGGATGGGAGCTGTGATGGCGCACGTGGTGGGCAGCGCCCCCGTGCACTGATGATAAATTCTCCTTGGGATTTGTTTTTGTCGGTTTCTGTTGCACTTAGCCAGGCATCCTAACGGGCGTTCATACTCTTTCCTTTGGTCCCCAGCCCATCTCAGTGGGACAGGGTTGTAGCCCCCGTTTCCTGGGTGAGCTCAGGGGAACACCCTGATGCAGGAAGCTCTGACGTGAGGCTTGGCCTCCATGGGCAGGGCCAGCGACTGACAGCCCCCGAATCCTGAAGTCTTCTCTGCTCAACCCCGCTGGACTTGGCCAGCTTCTGGGACCCCAGTCAGCCCCTCCACTTCCCCAAATTCCCTTCCATAATCCAGTTATTCATTCCACAGAACAGACCAAAACTCCCTGCCCTCCTGGAGCTGGCATTCGAGGAGGAAGGGAAAGCAGGGGGCTGGGGGGATGGAGCCAGTGGTTTCCTCTTACATGTGAGTAGTCTGGGAACATCTGGTTGTGGACGAGGCATTTGAAAACGGAAGGAAGGGAGGGACCAACCCTAAGGATGTCCTGAAGAAAAGGCAGTGGGATGGCAAGTGTAAAGGCCGCAAAGGGGCCTGTCTTGGTTGGCTGCTGCTATAACAAAATACCATACACCGGGTGGCTTGTCAACAAGATAAGTTTATTTCTCGTAGTTCTGGAGGCTGGGATGTCCAAGGTTAAGATGCCAGTCAACTTGGTGTCTGGTGAGGAGCCTCTCCCTGCAGATGGCTGTCTTCTGGCTGTGTTCTCACAGGGTAGAGAGAGGGCGAGCTCTCGGGCCTCTTATAAGGGCATAAATCCCGTTCTTGACAGCTCGTGACCTAATTACGTCCCAAAGGCCCCACCTCCAAATACCATCACACTGGGGATTAGAATTCAACGGATGGGTTTGGGGGGGATCACATTCAATCCATAACAGGGAGCGTGCTTGGAATGGTGCAGAAGCAGCAAGGAAGCCAGGGTGGCAGCAGCGGGATGGGGGAGGGGCTGAGGGTGGGGAGGGGGCCCTGGGTGGCTTGTCCTGACAGTGAGGTGGGCACCACTGCAGGCTGTGAGAACTTGACCACTCCTGGGGTAGATGTGGCTCTGGGTCTGCTGACAAGGGCTGTGGGGCCAGAGCAAGGACTGCCCTAACCCAGGAGCACGGCCTGGACTGAGGGTGGACGGTGAGAGCGGGCACGCCCTAGAAGGGGGACGCGCCGGTGGATGTAGGTGTGGGGACAGCGGGCCTGAGCAGCGGGATGGGTGAAGTCACCATGGCCTGTGCTGGGCAGGCCACGGCAAGGGCAGGTTTCAGGGACACGTTGAATCCGAGTGTCTCTGGCTGGGCGAGTGGTCAGAGCACAGTCATTCGGGTCAGACCAGGGCCAGAGAGACGAGGTCCAGACAGCCCCAGGGCCTGGAGCCTCCAGCGGGGCAGGGGGCAAGTGGGTAGACAGGCTGAGAGAGGAGGCTGGGGAGAGCCAGAAAGTGGGGCGGGGACAAAGGAAGGCGGGGCTCCAGGAGGGGGACCTGCCTCACCTCTCCGGGGCGGATGGGGGTTCAGGGAGAGAGGCAGGACCGGCGGCAAGAGAAGGAACACCTAAGCCGAAACCCCGTCCCTCTCAGTTCCACCCTTGGAGAACACTCAAGGCAGAGTTGGAGCTGGCCTCCTCGCGGCCTCGCACGCACGACTGGTCGAGGCGGCGCGCCCCGCCCGCCCCGGGGGTGGGGACGTTCCATCCGGCCCGCGCTGCGCGCCCTGGGGCGGGGACCGCGGGGCCTTCCGGTGACAAGGCCGCCCCTGGCTACTTCTCCCTCCGGGCCGGCGCCCACCCGCTGGAGCCGAGGGACGCTTCTGGGCTGCGGCGAGCCCCAGGGACGCGGCCGACGGCCCGCCTGCCCCCCAACGCCCAGCTGCTGCCGGCACCCCACCCCGTACCCAGCCGGCCTCCTGGAGGGTGAGGCCCGCCGGCTGAGGCCTCCTCCCTTCCCGCCAGCCGGACGGCTTCGAGGCGGTGCGCCCGGAGAGAGCTGGAAGGGACTGAGGCCCTAAGGTGGGAGTCCGGGGCCTCTGCTGTGTCCCTGGAGATCAGTATTGGGGGCGAGGGTCTCTGAGGGTTGAGGGTGTTTCCTGGGGTGGCTTGAGAGTGGGGTTCTGGACAGTCGGGGCTGCCCAGGTGGGTCACACACGTCCCTCCACCCGTGGGGGCATTAACCAGGTTCCAAGGCAAGCTTCGGGGTTTACAGAAAAGGGAGGCCCAACCAGTGGTGGGGGCCTCTGACTCCCCCTTTTGCAGGCCCCTCCGCTGAGCCAACCTTTCCATGGAGGATGCTGGCAAGGACGCCACCAGATTCACTGCCCATTCTCTGCCCAGTGACCCCCGGCTCTTGGCCACCGTGACCAATGCCTACTTGGGCACACGCGTGTATCATGAGACACTGCATGTGAGCGGAGTGTACAATGGGGCTTGGGGGGATACGCACCGGGCCGTTCTGCCCAGTCCCCTCAATGTCCAGCTGGAGGCCCCTGCAGGATCAGGAGAGCAGCTGACCAAGACCTTTGTCCTGGACACTAACACAGGTAGCCACTGCCTGACCTCCCCCTCCCCTCCGCCATTGTTCCAAGTGAGTGGGAGACCCGACAGAGGTCCCATCGAGAGATTGCCGACTCCCAAAGAAAAGGAAGCCCTGAGAGGCCACTTTGTGAGGCCTTCAGCTGGACGGGCCTCCTGGGCTGGCAGGAGCTGGCGGCGCCTGTGCAGCTGTCGCTTCCCAGACAGGGCACCTGGGGCTTGGAGGTGACCCCACTCCCCGCCGGCAGCTTTGGAACTGTCCTCAGCGGCCCTGAGTGGGGTGTGCAAGTTGCCCTGTCTTCCCCTCCCCACCCCCGCCCCGCCAGGCTCCTTTCTGCACACCCTGGAGGGCCCCAGCTTCCGGGCCTCCCAGCGCATCTATGCCCACCGCACGCTGCCTCACGTCCTGGCCTTCAGTGTGTCCATCACCCGCTTGGCCACAGGGAGCTGGCCCATCACTGTGCTGCTGCAGTCAACCTTCTCCCCAGAAAGCCCGGACCTGGACCTGCATCTGGGTCCTGACTTCCAGGGAGCCCGGTGAGGAGGGGGCGGGGGGCCGGCTGGGTAGCCCGGGGAGGGAGCCCGTCCCTGAGACACAACCATCCTGTTGCAGGTACCTGTACGGCCACACACTCACCCCCGAGCAGCCTGGGGGGGCACAGCAGGAGGTGCACATGCTGTGGACGCCGGTGCCCCCAGCCTTGACCCTTGGGGAAGGGGAGGAGGATGGGACGTGGGAGTTCCTGACGGTGGTGGGTGGCAGCCAGGCCGAAGCCCAGGCCTGCCTCGCCGATGCCCTGCAGCTGCAGGCCAGGCGCACTCTCTACATGGCCCATGCACAGGCCTGGGCCCAGCTCTGGGCAGGCTGTGGCCTGGATGTGGAGGGGCCCCTGCGTCTGCGCCAGGCCCTGCGTGGAGCTCTCTACTACCTGCTCAGTGCCCTGCCCCAGCCCGGGGCCCCAGGATACGTCTGCCACGGCCTCAGCCCAGGGGGCCTCTCCAACGGGAGCCGTGAGGAATGCTACTGGGGCCACGTCTTCTGGGACCAGGTGCGCACCATCCGTCCTTAACGCACACCTGCTGCAGAGCCGGCTGTACACAGAGCTGCTGCCTCTATCCTGCATGGGATGGGGCTGTGGTTGGGGAGGCCCAGGGACTATGGCAGACGGAAGGCTTCCTGGAGGAAGTAGTGTCTCGGCTGAAGGCTGTGTAGGCATTTGGTGAAAACGAGTGATGTGATTCAGGCAAGGGGACCAGAAGGTTCAGAGGCCCAGAACTGAGCAGGTGCAGGGCATCTGTCCAGGGCATCTGTGCAGGGTGCCCTCACCGCTGCAGGAAGAGCAGTTGTAGAGGGGGCTGAGGAGGCTGTGGAGACTTTAACGGGGGAAGGACATGGGCAGCCGTGGGCTCTGGGAAGACCCCTGTGGCTGTTGAGTGGAGCGAGGGTGGAGCAAGGTGAGGCAGCCAGGACCGGCTGACGGCTGGGCTTGGGAGGGTCCAGGATGCTGCTGTACATTTCCTGATGCCGGAGAAGCTGCTGCTGTGCTCCCTTTACAGGTGAGGCTCAGAGAGGCTGAGCTGCTCACTCTGGGTCGGGCAGCTAGTGAGCAACAGAGCAGGCACCCCCCCACCCCCACCAGGCTGCCCACGCCCGGACTCTGGCCTGAGCCCTGGGCAGACGCAGATGCCCGCTGGGGACCAGGCCTGAGGAGCGTCTGGGCTGGGGATGGGACTGTGGGGTTGGCAGGCAGAGGGCCCAGGACAGACCCAGATGGGGCAGGAGAGGAGGGAGCTGGATGTTGCCCATGGGGAGAGAGGATTGAGAGCGCCAGGACGAGGGGGCCCCTCGGCTGTAGCGCCAGGACGAGGGGGCCCCTCGGCTGTGCTCGCAGGACCTCTGGATGTTCCCCAGTATCCTGATGTTCCACCCGGAGGCCGCCAGGGCTCTCCTGCAGTACCGCATCCGGACGCTCGGTGGGGCCCTGTACAACGCCCAGAACCTAGGGTACCAGGTGAGGGGGACTGAGCACGTACCCTACGGGGCCCCCCAAAGGGCTGACGTCCCATACCACCCCCCAGGACTTCATCCCTCACCCCAGCTCCCTCT